GCGGGGGATACAAAATATGATACAGTACACATAATAAGTATCCTACGTGGAAAAAAATACAACACGAAACTGTATTGACAAATCACAACTGGGTGGTACGTTTTTGCTTTCGGGATCCGTAGATTGAATTTTAGTGTAAGGATTAACCAACTATATACAATAACAATAATAAGATCATATGCTTACGCAGTTACGTCGTACCGCGTATATTGCAACGTGCGGATATCCTCAATATTATAATATTATCACCCTATATAAAATAATAATTTCCCCAGTTCCGTACGGACTGTGGATTAACAGGGTTTGGACAAAGCCATGGATATGATAGTAATATAATATATATTATAAACGTACGCGCGACGGATATTTTATACTGAACCACCGAAATACCCACTCCGAGTAGCTCCATTGTTATCCTTGGGAACGATTAATGGTCGAATCTATCGTTGTGAACCCGATGTTTTTTTTTCAATCGYCATTCAGCTGGGCGGCTCGTCTGTCGCGTTCGGGGAGACGAATCAAGTAATATATCAAGTATATAATAAAATAGTACAATAATATACTAATCTGGATATCGGTTTTTTCTCCTTGATGATATTATTTCATTGATGACATATTATATCTACATATGATTATATAATACTGATAGGTACAATGCAGAGTAAAGATCAATGATTATTATTTACCCGCAAGCGCGCTTATTGCTCGCGTGCCGCCAGTCAGAGAATAATACGTGACTAGAGCGTAAAATAAATKTATCCATACCTACATAAAATTATAATAATATTAATAAGATGAAAAAATAACGTTTTTGTAAAGTAACTATATTATAATATGCGCCCACTTCAAAAAAGTGATATATGCCGCCATTATATAATATAACATAATATTGTCCTATTATAATAATATTAAGTCAGTATATTGCATATTGTATAATACGAACGCAATGTATTTCCATTGACTTAACGCATATATAAGTATAGGTACACACATGCACACGCACGTTTTGTACGATTTGTAAGACTATTGGTTCTTATATATTATAATATAAAAAATGGCAATAAATTATAAATTATTATGATCTTACCTAGTTTCGGTTTATAACCACGCGCGTACGAATTGTTTTTCTTTTTTTTTTTTGGTTCGGTCTGTTGAACGCGCGACAGTAGTGGGACGCCGCCGTAGGTGGAGCCAAACACATAACGCGAGAATTTCTGTACAAGACAATTATCTTTCACGAGCGTACCTGTCAAGTGTCAGATCGGTTTTAACGGAGAGTTCCACATCAGAGGTTCGATAAAAAAAAAAAAAAATCAAAGATAAATTTTACGAATATATTGTCGCGATAAACTCGTGCCGTGAACCCAACACTGTGTGCCCAACATAGGTAAGTTGAATCTCATTAACGATATTTTGTTAAAAGTAATCTATTTTTTTTTTTTATTATTCTAATAAATAACAAGACATAATATTTTCTATGGACTTAATTTTCCGATGGACTTAATGACATCGAGTCGTGTCGTCGTGAAAAAACCGTTGTACTAGAAATAGGTATATTATATTTCGAACAAATTTATATAATTTGTGCTTCAGCGTATGATAAAAAGACATCCCGTGTTTAATTAATTTTAATTATTATTATTAATTAATGCTTTATTTACGAAATGCAAGATTCTTCGAAATTAATGATCGATATTACGTTGAAATAATATTAGTCACGGTGATGTTTGATTATTCGAAATCATATTACCCGGTAACTATAAATACGACAACACGAACAGTTTATTTATCTTAGTTATAACTCACTAAGACATTCATCGGAATTAAGTATTCAGTTAATTTTCGTTAGTAGTAAATTAATAAAATTAATTGGTACATGAGTGGTTGCAAACAATAACCATATTATATCATTTTAATGCCTTTAACGTTTCACATGGACTTCGCAAAATTTATGTATTGGGAAATCATCCGTCACAGTGTTGTTATAAAAGAAGTAACGTGAAATGTTGTTGTTTGTGCGTTTATTACTAGGACTAAATTAAAACTTAAGAGTATATTACAGCTAATCAAAAACGATTTCAACGTTTTTAAAGTATGACATCTACTTTGTCAGATCTCTGGAATTTTTTATCATAATTAATGTTTWAGTGGATTTTAATTTATAAAATAAATAATTATATGGTAAAATATAATTACAAATTCATTTAAATGATAAATTTTATTTTATTCATATTTTAGGTTAATTATTAAAACAAAACAGATTAATAATTTGAATACAAACTTGATATATTTAAATGATGTTTAATTACATTTACATACCTAAGTTTCCTATAGTTATAAAATTGATTCTCATAAATTTGAATTTTTTATRCTGTTTGTGGTATAAAATGGTATATTCGTTTTAGATGTCCTTATAAATAAATTAAGTGATAAATTATAATTTTTAACACACTTACATATATATAGGTATATATATGTATACATATATTTTAAACGTAGGTATTTCATAACTGAATTTGACCACGTAGTTATCTTATTATATTATTTATACGTTAAAGTTTAGACAGATAGAGGGTGGAGGAGATATAATGTTTAAAGATAAAATACTTTTGAACTACTAAACCTCCACACTCCTTTCCTAAACTTTAAACGCCTGTTAGATAGACATTATGTTTTAATCATGATACATGATAATTTTAAGAAAAACATATTAGTTAAGCGTGATGTTATTTATAAAATCAAATGTATTTTATGTAATTTTAATTTTTTTTTTAAAACGATAAGTATAAAAAAAACGACAAATGAAGAAAACATAATAGGTATACCGAAATTGCGAATATAGAAAATTATTGTGATAACATTTTTCTCATGAAATCTGTACCTAACATATAATTTTTATGTAATACACAAATTATATAATTTATTAGCATTAAAATTAAATGTTGTATAGTTCGATTTTCTTAAAAATTTCGGTTAGATACACCTATGATATTGGAAGAACTATTTTTTTTTTTTCAAATAAAATATCTACCTAATAATATGTAGTGTATTCATCATTGCAGTCAATTGTGTTATTATATTATACTCTGTGTTGAATCATCTATATAGTTATTCTAAGACGCTTATTGACGCTGCAGTGGCACTTAAAACGAAATTAATATATAGATTCGAAGTACCTGTACAACGTGATTACGAAACAAATAGTCGCACCACGCGATGTTCATCCGCTGGTGTATAAAAAACATTTTATAAGTCTCCAAATGTACAATTGAAAAGTTAAAAAAAAACCTCAAAGCAAACACGAAACTTAAGTGTGTAATGTGTACCTTTTATAATCCCCCGGAGATAGATAACAGACATCGTCGCCAAGTCATTGCGCATATGGCATATTACGATGATATACTTGTTCTAGTCCTGGCCCATAATAATTATTGTATTTGATTCTATTTAATTTCCTCGCCAAGAAATCGGTTTCGATTGAACCAAACGCGCGACGACCACTATACAATAAACCTCCGTCCGATGCGTACCGCGCATAAACGAGCTCATCGGGACTTCCTGGACCCTGGTTACGGTAATCAATCATTACTTGTAACGCGGTAGATCACTGCACATACGTCTTGTCGTGGAATTCTTCACTTCGGCGATTTGGGTGTATACGATTTTGTTGTTGTTGTTGTTGTTGTTGTTTCCCGGACGTTCCGTTCGATAATGGCACACCGAACGATCATGTCGTCGAAACGCTACTGTCGGGCACGATAGCGCCCAGGTAAATTATTTATTATTTTCGTGTCGTTGTAGTTTTTATCACGCGAACCGGGATATCTCTGACAGGAAAGTTGGGGTAAGATTAGACAACGGCTATTCCGAATATTATATTGTGTGTATAATATTATTATGTTATCGAACAAACGGGCGATAAAGATATCGGGGCACCCGTTTTATCTCATCGGGTTTCGAGATAAAAAGATGCACTCGACGCGGCGGCACACAGTCAAAATACCAGTCTCACGCTAGTCGCTCGGCCTGGTAGTATCCTTAAACCCGGTATATAGTTCGATAGTCCGTTTACGTTAGTTTATGTCGTGTATGTGTGTGTGCGTGCATGTGTGTGTATGTGTGTGTGTGTGTTTTCGTTTATGTTGAGAATATAAATATTATATTTTTTTTAAATAATAACATAATATTATGTGCACACGTTTTTGTCGTCAATGACGTAAAAAATATTGTGTTTGATCGGTCTTACTGTCCGGACGCCGTGGTACTGTGGTAGACGTCGGCCTCACTCTCACTTCTTTCGAGTTTGACCCACAGACGCGATAATGACCGTTGTTTGTTCCTCTCTAACGTCCTGGGCACAATGTCGTACGACGTCAAAAGTGATATACATACACATATACATTATATCTATGTACATTATATAGTATTATAATTGATATTCATAATAAATAATAATATATGCATCACGGGTTTATAAAAATAACATGTATTGAAATTTGATAAATTAATGTCAAAGGGCATGGAGGGTGACGGGACTTCCAGAGGGGTGATAAGACCCGCCCCAGCTCATATCAGGACCATTACGACGTCGGGTCATATAACCACCGTACCTAACATCGAAGGACAGTCCAGGAACGAGAGCAATGCGACAGACGCCATGCCGCRGTTGAAAGTGCAACAACAGAGAGACTTTGGACATGAYGGGTAAGTGCATATAGGCTTTACRATACGACGATTGTCTAATATTATTATCGTATAGCATGTGTTGCATATTATGTAGTAATAATTATGGAATTCTGTCTTTTAAGTGTSGTTTAGTCGATTTTTTTTATAACGCAGCATTATTACCAACATATATATTATACGATACGTACACATATAGTTTATACGAGTACACTAAGTTATATCTATTCTGTATGCATGCAGTTGGTATGTCGATTGCGTACATTATACATATATTTTGTATTGTTTTTATATKGTTTCTCCGTCTATTAGGTTATCTAGAAACTGTACTCCCGATAATACGGAATGCGTACCGACGGAGGTTCTTATGGACGGGTTTAACGAAAACGGCACGCCCGTTGCACACACTCCCGAAGAGCCCACCTCGCCGGATGAATACCGAAAAGATCTTAGTCCACCCACTGAAGCCATCCGACTCCGGAGGAACGTAGACGGCAACGAAGTGAATCTGCAAATACCAATGGAAAAGTTGGCCACGTTCCACGGGTACGTCACCACCACCGAATTTCCCCACCATAATCAGAGATATCAGCGAATCAGATATTTGGAGTACCGAGGACAGTCACCCGAGGATGGTGGTGGTGGTAGTGGGGGTGGTTTTGAACAACCCCTAATCAAGTACGAACATCATCAGCAACAGCAGCAACAAAATAAAATGGATCCAAATTCCAGTTACGTGACTTTGGAATCGGTTACGGATGCTTATCAACAGCAACAGCAACGGCAACAGCAACAGCAACAGCAACAGCAGCAGCAGCAGCAACAACAACAGCAGCAGCAACAACAACAACAACAGCAGCAGCAGCAGCAGCAGCAGCAGCAACAGCAGAATTACCAGCAACAAAACTCGTATCAGACGTACCAAACGTACGAAACCGAACAACCAGTGGCCGACATATTCAACATATATGGCAAAGAGAGCCACACCGGTGGTGGAGATTACGGTGTAAAAGCTGGTCACCAGAAGGGTGGTTACGTTCAACAGACCCTGTTGCAGCAACAACAACAGCAGCAGCCTGAGTATCAAGACGACGTCAGCGGTGGTGGTGGTGGCGGTGGAGGTGGTGGTGAAGTACAACCGGACTTCTGGGGACCGCATGAGCAACAAGTGGCTGACTTTACAACGGCGGCAAACGAGACTTTGGCAGCGGCCAATGCGCTGCAAATTCAGGAAGTAGGACTAGGACCGCCGGACGGAAGCATTCAGGTGACTCAGCAATATGCCATTTTCCAGACCAGTAACCCCGGACCGTCTTGGATMGACGAACACTACGATCAAAGTGCGTATACACAAGTGGTAGTTTCCCCGCGCCGGCTTCGATAATATTTTTAAGACAATTAATGATTAATCGATCGGTATATAACGTTATTTATACTTATGTTAGCCCCTCAGAACTAAAACATTTTTATTCAAAAAAAAAAAAAGGGGCTATAGTCCCCTCCTTTATAAATTCATCAAGCTTCGCCTATGCTAGGGGGTGGCCTAACGCCATGTCAAATAGGTGTTATTATACATATTATACAMGTTTGTAAGCACGATTCAAAATTTGTTTTATAGGACCTAATATGTCGATTTGGGATAGTTATACGTTATTATAATAATGAATTACTCTTTTTTCCTGGGGCTTTTAAAATKATGTATGGTTGTGACACTAGAGTGAAACACCCGTTGACGATTATCGTTTGTTGRTTTTTGCAGACGGCATACTGAACGTGGACATGAAGGAATGTGTGAATTGCGCGGCCAACGYGACGCCCTTGTGGCGTAGGGACGGCACGGGCCACCATCTGTGCAACGCGTGCGGCTTGTACAACAGAATCAACGGAGTGAATCGGCCGCCGGTCAGGTCTGCACAGAAGAAAACCACCCAGGTACGATATGACACAACAAACCGATTATGACTACACGTGTATTGTATATTAATGTGTTATAATTGTTATTATGCCGGTATTATTTCACAATATGCTAAACACTAATACAATATGTATAGGTAATGTATATACATAATGTAACTGGTATATAGACTATCCACTACTATATTACAGTAACACATACTATAGTATATTACATATTTATATCATCATGTATCATTAGTTAAAAATCATGTATAATATGTACATAATGATATATCGTTACGATTGGGCGATTTAAGACCACAGAAAATAAACGTACCGCCGATAATAAAGAGACGAACAGATAAATAGCTAATCGAGTTTAAAAGTCAAATTTTTAATTAGGTATTATTTTAATCATATTATAATTTATTGGTTTATCCATGGGTATAACGATTTCATTGGAACGTTAAATTGATTACTGATACTTTATTAATGTCTATATTGTAGTTCTTCAATGATTAGAAATTAGTTTAATTTAAGTCTAAAGAAATTATCGACATAAAACGTAGTATAAGCACACTGAATATCTTGATTTTGTATACCTACCTAAATCAAATCCAAATGCATAAATACTTTCTAGAAACAATACAAAWCATAAAGCTAACACTTTTCCGCCTTCAACAGTTATACCAATACGATTAATCGGTTTTAAATAGTAATAGTTGGTACTATTATACGTATAATAATTAGTAATGTTTTTATCTAAAATGGACATAATCTGTGAGTACATTAATTTAGTAACCAGAAAATTGAAGATTTTTAGTTATTAGTTAAGCATACTAGTGTATTATGTCGTACTGTAAAAATTGAACAAGTTATAAACACTACACAATATATATTGTATATAGTATTGTAATATAATAAAAATTAGATTTTCTTAAAATTTTCAATTTTAATTATTACACTAACGTACTCACAGGGTAAATTATCATAAATTATTTGAAGAAAAACATTAACATCGGCTTATTTGTTTTTTATTCACTAATTGGGTGATTATACAGTATACTAATAGCAAAAATTACACTAATATACTATTATTGAAATGTCAATTTGTTCGATATCATATTATATTTCGACATTTAATCGTCTTAACGGTATTGAGATTGACCGATTGAACCTCCCCGAACTCGTATTATCATCTCAGTATGGTATATTCCTATATTATGGTCGGCGATAATAACAGCCACTTACAATGAATAATAAAACCTACAACAATATACAACCATACATGTTAATACATACCGCATATCCTTTAAAAAAATATTYCCGTACACGGCCGTGTGCATGTTACGCTGAAATGCTGAATGCAATGGCCTGTGGATGTACAGAAATCGGTCATAACAATAATAATACAAATAACCTAACCACGTATAACAAATACAATATTATAAAATCATATATATTTAATTCATATAAGTTTGTAATAAAATTACAAGTCGATAACTACAATAATAATAATAATAATAATGACATAATTTTATGTTAACTGTTGTCTAATAATGGTTTGATATTTTATTTGACGCGTTCCAGCAAACGGGGAACAAACGTTCTGGAGTGGCCTGCGCTAACTGCTCGACAAACACGACGACTCTGTGGAGACGAAATAACAACGGAGAACCAGTGTGTAAYGCTTGTGGTCTCTATTTCAAATTGCACAACGTAAGCTATTGTTCATAAACGATCGTCACGAGTACGATATATAATATATACATTTATTTTATTGTTGTTCTTTATTATTATACGACGTCGATACCTATTCGACGTGTACGCGTCGTCATATTTTACACATTAGTCGACATTAATTTAATCATAATATTTATATATTATAATAATTATTAGTTTTGTTCGCTTTCAAAGTCAAAGCTGTTTTTTCATTCCATTGGTGTGTGTGTGTAATTATCGTAAATATCAGTCGATATAATTATTGTCTGCCGAATTTAATTTTTACGTACAAARTTAACATTATTCCGACGAGTGTCGAAGTCGATATGTATAATAAAATAATATTATATACCTATACGATTTGGTTATTCGTCAATCGTTGAGTTTGTAGTGTTTGTTCATAACTTGTCCTCCTATATATTACAATTTACAAACGTTTTAGAAAACGTATCCAAAGGTTTGTTTTACTTATCTCGATTCTCGGTTATTGTTTAACAACTCGTAGATATTATTTAAATTTCCGCGATCGGTATATAATATGCCACATATATACATGGCACTATTCTCGATTCCCAGTTCCCACGGACCCAATATATAATAAACTACATATAACTATTATCTGTTTGCTCTTTCGTATTTTCTAAATAATATTGTAGACTGTAGTCCTGCAGTCGTATTTCGGTCTTTTCTAACCGGCTTTTGCTTTCGTCCGTCGTAAACAATAAACATTTGTAGTCTAAGAGGAAAAAAAAACGAAAATAATATTCTCGGACCAAGCCGGGTGTGTACCGCCTACTGTTCCTGCGCAGCGGTGTGGTAATAAAAGTATAAAACGTTTCAAACATTTTCTCGCGGTTTAAACAGCTAAACCTGCAGCGTTGTATGTTAGCAAGCGTTTTCGTATTCTCTTCACTCGTATTTCGAACAATAATTACATTTAATTCGTCAGTGGCTCCTATTTTGGCTCATATCGCGTCACCCGGTGTGTAAATATCCGCAGAGAGCGAAACCTTTTCCTCAAACCTCCGTCATAGACGTGCGCGCGCGCGCACGCGTCTGCACACACACACACACACACACACACACACACACATGCATACACTCACAACCGTGTACCCACGCCATATTATACGTGCACCGGATGGCTGTTGTGTGCGGTTTGTGTCAATATTAACTAGGAAACCCAGATGACTAACTAGGGTTTGAAAATAAACATTGTCTCATGGGTGATTTCAGGTCAATAGGCCGTTGACGATGAAGAAAGACGGCATACAAACGAGAAAGAGGAAACCAAAGAACCCGTCCATCGGTGGTTTCAGCCAAAACTCGTCATCTAAAGAGAAAGGTATATAATAACAATAATACTATTAAATGTAATATACAATTAACTATATAATATTATTATATTATATCCAGAATACTGCAGGTACCTACCTATCTATGTCGTAATGGCTTTTGTTTTATTTTTTATTTTTTTGTAAAAAATWTTTTGTGTGTATTTGGGGGAGGTTTGGTAGTAGTGAGTGGCACGACCCGCGCGTATGGGATTTACGGCCTTATCAGCTAGTATGTCAATATTGCAGTGTTTGTTCAAGGGAATAAGAGGTGAAGTGCACAAAGAGGAGTTGGAGGTGTACAGCTGATAAGGAAAAATGTTTAACGATCTCGTGGCGGCGGTAAACACGGTGACATAAAAAAATCAACTATATAATATTAACAGTGAGCCGAGTTTTGACACATTGTAGTATTCAACGTACACTGAACGTTCCATACATCTTTCACTGAACATTAAAGTTTAAAATCGATTTAGTTTTTACCTTGAATATAATATTAARTATTGCTGTAAATATGACTATACAAATGCCTGTTGCATGTATCGYYGCAGAGTTTGAACTACCTAGGTAGTTTAAAAAATTTTGTTTTTCATATTCAATGAGTTTTCAGGTCATTATACAATTTAATAATAATAATTAATGAAGTATAAAAAAATGTAATTCGTTAGTGAATTAACAATGACAAGTCACTTGCTCAAGCTCGGAAAATAGTTAAAATATAATGTTTGACGTTTATTCGTGCTCGAATATTTTATGAGCAGTTTAGTAGACAATATCAAAGCATTGCATGACAAATTATTATAATATTATGATATCTAACTTAATGTAAATATAATTGTCCATCATAGTTTGTGTGCAACTTAATAATAAAAACATTTATTAATTATTATTTGTTGCACTGTAAAATTTTAAATATTAAATAATAATAATAAAATTGCATTACAATTAAAAATTACCTACTTTGAGAAGATAGGCGGTGGATATTTTTTAAGGAGTTAAATATAGCCAATTTTCAAATTGGACTCGTGTGGGTCTTGTTAATGTATACGTACTACGTAGTAAGTGATCATAAGTGGAGCGCTCACGCACACGCATGTACAAGTCATCGACTCGGCATTGCTGTCGTGAACGGTAAACAATTTATGCTCATACTTTGTTTGTACTTTTTGTTCATCCTACCGATCGACTTACTAATGCAACGATATTTCAGAAAAGTGATCTGAATTCGTTATAACGTCTAATAACTGAGATTGGTCAGTCCACATTTCAAGACTTCAGATTTAAATTCTGAATAGTCAACGTTTAAAAATTTTAAAATATTGAAACTTAATTTATTGTTGGTTTGGGGGGAGGAGATTGGAAAAAGTTGGAAAATCTCAATTAGAATTAATAACGAATTCAAAACAGTTTTAAAAAGTGTTATTGCATATTTGTATTTACTAGGTCGATCATTAGACATAATGGACAAAATATTGATATGTTTAAAAAAATAAAGAAATAACTGTCCATAATCGATCCCCTTACATCCAAAGGATAAATGTCTACTAACTGTACAATTATGCTAGGTATTATTATAGCTCAAAATTCGGGTAATATTATTATTATCAGATTAATTACCATCGAAAAAAATAATTATAAAAACATTCGTTTAAAAAGTTTAAGTCGTTAATATTATTATTTTAAGATGATATAATTTACTATTTTGTTTATTAGAACTATTAATTTACATAGCTTTAGTTAAATAATAACTTCTATAAGCTAAATAAACATTTTTTAGTTAAGAAAAATTATGATATACACGTAACTACCATGTGGATTGAAGTTAGATATTATTCAGAAAAAAATGAGTCATTATTTTGAATGTCTGTAGAATAAGTTGCGTTTACATTTTTGCAAGGCGCTTTTTATATTATTTTATTTTGTTTTATATTCCAATATTTTACAATAGTAAATAGTTATTTAGCTTTAAAATATTAACAGAATAAAAAAAGTTAAGTACTTCGAAATTATTATTAACACGAATTATTGCCTATTTGTAAGCAATAATGATAATAATAATATGATGTTTTATGTTTTAGGAGAAGTAACAACAAAACTCTTACTTCCTCACTTGTTTACTAATTCTTCGGATAACAAACATCAACACGGACATCTTAGTTACGATCCAGTTGTGATGACATCACAAGAACACTTCCTGCCTCACGGTTCTCAAATTCACATCCCTTCATTACCCCCACCGCCAACAAACCTTAACCGCCATGTGCCTAAGTAAATACATTTTAATATTTTTAAAATATTTACTACACAAGTTCGATTTTAGTTATTAAATTTAGTATATTGTTGCATATAAAATAGGGTTTGACTGAAATAAGGGACTATACCTACATTAAATACTCCAAAATGTCGATTTGTCAAATATATAGTAGGTACCTAGGTAATGTGGTCCAATTGAGTTCATAGCCAAAGTACTTAATTTAGCATATGAAATAAGCGAGGAGTATTGTGTACATTATATTTTTTGTCACCTTAAATACCTATAAAGGTCTAATAAGGGGTTGACAACCTTTTTCAACAACTGAGCTTCATTTTTCATCAATATTTTCATAATATGATGAATGACGACCATTTATTTAACTAAATTATTTATATTGATTATTGGTAAATGGAGCATAATAATAAATTGTATAATACCATTCTTCTTTAAATATTTCTCCATCTGAAAATCGTATTTTTTTCTTAGCTAAGAATCGTATTTTTTTATTTTTTCATACTTTACTTTGTGTATTATAAAGCATAATAGTGTTTTTATGATTACGCACCTCATCAACCGAAATTCTGATTTCCAATTGCGATAGATCGGTTGACAAACCCTGCTTAAGAGCTTTAAATGTTTCATGCATAATGTTACATAGTTAGTTTAAAAAAAAAAATATTAGTTTATGATTTTATMCTTCGTTTACATAAGTGTAAAGAATAATCAGCAAATTAAAAAATAGAAATGTGATGAAATTATGACATACCTAGGTATGAGTAAAATATTATTTCTTATGATATCTTAATTGAATTTGAATTGAATTATTYTTTCTCGTCCCTATCATTTATTTTTCTACAAGTGTAATCTTAAAATAAAATTGTAATTTAGTAGACTCATAGTAAATTATTTTTATAGGTACTATAATATAGTATCTATAAATTATATACATATTTAGTGCTAAACATTACATTTAAATATGCTTATATATTTAGTTTTATTACTAATATTTTTTAATTTTATTAGTAATGGGCAATCAATGGATCAATTGGGATCTAGAGAAATTCTAACCAGTGTAATCACTTCTACCGGAAATCAAAATGTAAGAGATGATTAATCACCAATCAGTATACAATATATATTTATAAATTTTAAACCAATGCAATACTTTTGTGAACATATAATTTTATTTTGTTCGATTTAGTTTTACTGTTTAAAATATTTGTTGGTTTACAAATTTATATAGTGGTGATCTATAAAATATTATACAAACATAGTATGATGTTGTAATATTCAATATGATCATGCACTGTAAAGTGATAATTGATGATAGTTTTATATATATACATATATAGTATATACATATATACATAATATATATATTATATCTTACAAGGATTTGTGATGTAAAAAATATAGCTAATTGTTTATTTTATTTAGTTTATATGTATTCATTTAAATATTAAATTAATTCATATGCTTAGAATAAGTCACCTTTAAAGGAACAATATAGATTGTTGTAAATTGATTACTTAATCGTATTAAGTAGTTTTATACTAAATAAGGTTATAATTAGCAAAATTTTATTTGAAAATTGTAAAATACCATTTACTGTAGGTACCTAGTAGGTACCTATTAAAAATATATTTACCATTATATATTTAAGTTTTTTTTAAAATATAATTTCATTGTGTTATGTATATCAATTTTTTTTGCATTTAACTTTTATATTAAGTAAATAGTTTTAATATTGAAGTAATTTACTTTTAATGAGCTATAGAATTATAATATGTTCATTGATGATTAGTAACTTATGGGTAATTAAACATTTATAGTTTAATTAATTTTAATCAAGTTCTCTACTTAAGTACCAAGTACTATGTAGTTAATACTTTAATGGTATAGTAAAATATAGTTTGTTATTTATTAACTGTTACAAAATTAATGGCATATTTAAACAAATATTTACTATATTTTGTAAAAATTGTTCTATTATTATTTTTACAATAAATAATGTATTATAGCGTAAAGTATATAATATATAATTTAATTACATACCTTATTTGGTATATAATTAGTTTAAAATGTTACTTGATTTTTTTTCAAATTTAGAGAATACTTGATTTTGGAGTTAACAATATAAAGTTAGGTGTTTCCYATAAGTTATAATTTTAATTCTAAAAATTAAAATATACTGAAATTACATAAAGTTAAAACGTATAATTCAATACAAAATATAAAAAGACTTATAAGTTATAATTTAGATAAATATACATAATTTTAGGTCAACAATAGGTGTTCCACGTGTGTACAACAAATTTGTATCTGATTTAACTTTTAATTTAAATTTGTAACTGTACAGTCGACCATTAGAAAAAAAATTATTTTTTATAAGTCATGATAAAGTTAATAATAATTCTTAAGTATTAAATATTCTAGTTCTGGATTGTGATTGAAAGTATATGTATTGTAATTATTGTCCTTATGAGTTATGACCTTATATATTCTCTACTCCTCTGCATGCATAAATTTTTGCTAGTTGTTACTACTRTGAGCAAATTACATACTTAGACAGTTTTTATAGAAGGAGGTAAAATAGTTCTATGTTCCATCCTTAAATAATAAAATATCGATTTAATATAATATGATATAATGGTTAAATTCACAGTAATGTAATCAAATATTTTATAAGCAATAAAGTAAGATTGAGTAGGTAACCTAAATATTTTTTTTTTAAATGTTTGTTTAATTATTTTTCGGTCTACTTAAAGGCAACCTAATCATCACTATCCTGATGTCGAAAAATATTAACATATTAAACCCTGATAAACTCTATTAATAATATTTGATGGCCTCCCCCCCCCCATAAATCTGTTCTGGATCCGCGCATGGTCATGGTAATCGCTGAAAACTACCGTTCTTTAATCTTTTGYATATTGATATTAGGCCATAGCTAGCCTTATAATAATACATGTGTGACAAGACAGGAGGGRCTTATTCAGCAAAAATTACATGTTATGTTTATAAAAAATATTTAAATATCTATATAATATATTATATATAATACATTATATATATATTGTACATATTATGTTTATATAATTTAAGTAATTTGATGTAACAATCGTTAAAAAAGTTTTTTATCCACAAATATATTTTGATGTCTAGTAAATGCTAATATGAATATTTGGTAAAAAATTCGAGTCTAATATATACATTTTTGAATAACAACAAAAATACAAAATGTATTTTGTCGCAAACTGATTTTGAGTAGTAAAAATTCCTRTTTTCCCTATATTTTTAGTTTTTTTGATTGTTTTGTTAAGTAGGTACTGTGCATTTTCACTTTTGACGAGACTTGTATATTTTTGAATTATTACATTTTTATAYTTTTATACTTCTAATTAAGTTTATTGATTTGAAGAGAGTAAGGGATGGCATGTCTTTTTAATGAGATTTTATTAAGAGGACGCCACACCCGCATGTGTTGTCTTCGTCGTACAAGTGCGTAGCATAGCAAATTTTACGCTCAGCAAATCTCGTTTATCCCYTTTAATTTAAAATTTAAAGTGAATTGACCTGTAATAAAAATTAAAGGTAAGATTATTACCGAGGGCTTCTCATGGGCTTTTTATTATATTTTAATTTTAAACCCAGTTGTGAGTATTTTTAGATATAAAAATAATTTACAATTTTAAAATACTCGCTTAAATTAAAATATAATAAAATGCCCATGAGATGCCTTCGGTAATAATTTTGCCTTTAATTTTTATAATAGGTCAATTCACTTTAAATTTTAAATTAACGGAGATAATCGTGATCTGCTGAGCGTAAAATTTTATATGCTACGCACTTGTACGACGGAGACAACACATGCGGGTGTGGCGTCCTCTTAAATAATATATTTAAATTAAATTTTATGAATGTACAAATCATTATTATGATGATAACGAGACCAAATTATAATTTTGCTCGTTGATATAAATTATCAATTCATCTTAATTCATCCGTTTGGCGTTTCCGCATTATTGTAATCAATACTTTGTTTAAATTATCTTCTTTATGCAGTGTGTCTATAGCTGCTAGCCGTGGTTACTAATTTGTCGCTGTAACGCCTGTAACACTGCATACATAGTGGCTATTTATATTTCATATAAAAATTAAACATAATTGTTTTAGATTTTAAAATGTAGTTCAGTATAATTTGTATGATGATAGTTGAAAACGAAAAAAATCTAAATATTTTTAATATTTAAGACGAATTAAACTTACCAATTTTATAATCATAACAATTTCAGTTTGTTTTAACTTTTAAGAGTGTGTCAAATATAATTCAGGTAGTTCGGTTCACTTCGAGTTTGGCTATACGGGCTACTTTTTAACTCCTAACGTTATATTTTAACACCTACCTTTACAAATCATATACCTATAATGGTAATTCAATGTTAAATAAAACAGTTTAAAAAAATGTATAATTTGGTTTATTAGTTACGATTATTGTGRATATATATGTTATAGGCGACTGACGATTGCAATTTGCAGGTGTCCAAAAAGGTATCAGTAAAATATTGGCAGAAAATTAACTGTATTCCAAATTCCAATTATCAGGTTGTACCTACTTACTAAAATAATAAGTGATAAATAATAATATAGGAATTGAGAAATCACTTAAATTCGCTAATGAGAAATCTCCCAAATTGGTTCAACTAATTTTCAATAGTGAATCGACCATTGAGCTATTGCTTTGGGTCTAAATTATAATAGGCTATAGTAAGTTATTCATATTTTTTTAGTAGCTATCAATAAATTAAAATTGATTATTATTAATTGATAATTATTTTAATAATTTATAGTAAAGCTATAAATAATATTATATTAATCAATGATTTTATATTCTCGCGTTTCCGGAATGCGAGATGAACATTAACGTATAAAATGATATGCAATATTGTATAATATTCGTGTGGTAAATATTTTTATACTTTTTTTCGCAGGTAATAAGTATAGAAGGTGATTTAGCTCGTCAGATCGGTCGTCGAAAAAGATTTAAATTGTTCCGTAATGATACAGAATACGTAATCTTAGATGATATAATAACTAACTAATCAGTAGTTAATAATTTAATGTGTGCATACAGCATACTGCACTTACAATGTATACTATACGTACTACCATTCGACGGTAATTTCTAACTGATCTCAGCGACGTGTGCCGGCCTTCGGTCATTCCAGTATACAGGCGTTACACAGGTACAGTACCTATGTTTTTGTGTATAAAAACAATAATAATAATAGTATGTAAGCAAGTAGTAGTAATAAGTACATAAAATAAACAATGGTGCCCACACCCGTCCGACGGCGTAAGCATTGATATTATTATGCCTATTTTACACGCTCGGTAGCACGTTCGTCGCATTCGTATGAGTGACGTTCGCGGTGTCGTCGATCCGTGTTGTATACACAGTACACACTGCACAGAGCGCGTCTAGTTGAGCATGTCGCCGCAAGTAACTTTTTTGTTCTAGCTCAGTCGTTTATTTAGTTTAAATACTGCTTATTGGAGCACACTATGAAAAAAATCGTGGTATAATTWAAAAAAAAATTAATTATTAATTCACAATATTGGCTATTGCACTATTAATTGCTCTACACGCTAAAATCGTATGTGAAGTTATGATGGCTATCGAATTTCCAACGGACTTAAAAGTTTAGTTGTTAACTTCAATCTTCATAATGAAAATTACCGTACTCGCCTAATTAACATTTGAATTAAATTTTACGTATTTTATTTTTTAGAAAATTAAGAATTATTTGTGAATATAACGAACACGGCGAGACACTCACGCTGTATACAGTATAGAAGAGACGACGACGACGTGTGCAGCATAATAATATATTTTATTATACGTAAGTAATAGTCGTACCACAGTTGTACTGCAGTAGAACAAACATCGTCCGAGTTTATGGCAGTGAGTGGTGACCATATACTCTGTAATGATAATAAATAATAATATTATAATGCCGTTGATAATACCTTTTTATCATGGTCTGAAGTAGTCACAACTCGCCACCAGGGGACATGRCAAACGTAACGGTACCCGTCCATTATAATCGTAATAGGTATTAGCGGTGTATCAAAAGCGGTGTTTGGGGGAAAATAATTACACGAATAAAATTTCAAAAGAATAT